TGCATGCATGCATGCATGCATGCATGCATGCATGCATGCAGGAGTGTGGGGCCCCGCACCTGTCTGTACACCTCAAGCCTGGCCTTCGCGTGCCTCCGCGGGGCTTCCTGCGTTGTTCTGTGGGGTCTCCTCTGATACTTTTGTAGCAGCAGCATCAGCAGCAGCAGCATCAGCAGCTGCAGCAGCAGGAGCAGCAGCTGAAGGAGGAGGAGGAGGAGGTGGCGGTGGTGGGGGAGGAGGCGGTGCCTTCTTTGCTGCTGCTGCTGCTGCTGCTGCTGGTTTTTCTGTTGTTTTGTTCGATGAATCTGTGGGGTGTTGATGAGATTTGCGTTGCCGGTTGGCTGCCTGTGCAGCAGCAGCTTCTGCTTCTGCTGCAGCAGCAGCGGCAGCAGCAGCAGAACGCCTCCGTGCTGCTGCTGCTTCTCGCTGCTCTGTCTCCAGTTTATCAAACTCCTCAATTAAACGCATTTGCTGCGGTGTGAGGGTGCTCGGAAGCTGCAGCCGCATGCATGCACAGCAGTAGCAGCAGCAGCAGCATCAACAGCAGCAATGTTGCGGTGTATGCACACAACCTCGCACTCTGCTACACACAGGCAAGAAATAAACGCTGCTGCTGGTGCAGCAGCATCAGTATCAGCAAGGCCTTGCTGCTGCAGCAGCAAAACTCGCAGCAGCAGCAGGAGCAGCAGCAACAGCAAAAGCAGCAACGGGAGCAACACCAGCAGAAGCAGCATCAGCAGCAGCATCAGCAGCAGTAGTAGTATGTTAACGAATAATGAATATAATACTTACATCTAAATAGAAGTGTACGACAAGATCTCCTGCAGCATTTTGCTGCTGCATGCGAGGGGGCCCTTTGCCTTTAATAACTTTTACTGTTGAAGGAGATGTGCCGGGAGAGACAAACAAATTAAATGAGTTTGTTAGAGACGGCACCTCAACGCGGCCTCCTAATAAACACTTTGCATTCATAAACAAACAAAACAACTAAAATATAATTAGTAATACTAATAGTTGTAATAATAAACAAACAAATATACAAACAAATTATTATTAATAAATAATTTAATAATAAACAAACAAATACAAGAAAAAATTATTATTATACACACAAACAAATGAGTAATTATAAACAAATAATTAACAAACAAATAGCAAATAACAAACAAATTAACAAATAATAATAAACAAAAAAAAGAATACACGCAATAAAACATGCAAATGCATGCATGCATGTTTTATTGGAGTTTGTTTGGGGCTTTTATTTTGTTAGTGTATATATATAAATAAATAATTTAATTAATTATAATTTACCTGTTTAATCGAGAGAGGGACATCTACATGAATGTCATCGTCAATCCAACGGAAGACAGGGTGAGGCTTTATGTTTATCTGCAGCAGCAGCAGCAGCAGCAGCAGCAGCAGCAGCAGGAAGCACATGAACAAAAGAAATGAATAGTAGCAGCAAAACGCATGCATGCAAGAGGAGGAGACAAAGAGAAAAACAAAAATAAATAAACAAAAGGAGACAGACAGACAGACAGACAGACAGACAGACAGACAGACAGACAGACAGACAGACAGACAGACAGGCAGGCAGACAGACAGACAGACAGACAGGCAGACAGACAGGCAGACGCACAACCACCAGCAGCACAAACAAACACCAACAGCTGCAGCAGCAGCAGCAGCTCCAGCTGCACCAGCAGCAACAGCAGCTCCAGCTGCAGCAGCAGCTCCAGCTCCAGCTCCAGCTCCAGCACCAGAAGCTGCTGCAGCAGCAGCTCCAGCTCCAGCTCCAGCAGGAGGAGGAGGAGCAGCAGCAGCAGCAGCAGCAGGAGCAGGAGCAGGAGCAGCAGCAGGTGTAATAGGAGTAATAGGAGAGACGAAAAGATAAAAAAAAGTTAAACTGCTTACGCTGACAAACAGATGACCCCTCTTGCCTCCTCTCTCACCCGCATGCCCCTGATTCGGCACGCGCATCTGCATACCGTGACGCACCCCTGCAGCAGCAGCAGCAGCAGCAGCAGATACAACAATATTAAGAACAATAACAGTAAGAACAATGAAAGCATCAACAGCACAGAAAGAATCAGAAGCACCAGCACAGAAGCATGAGCAGCAGCAGCACCAGAAGCAGCAGCAAAAGCATCCATAGAATATATATATATATATATATATATACATATATATATATATATGCATTCAACATATATATATATATATACAAAGGGATCCATCAACAGATACGAATATTCATTTAAACAGTATATATATATATATATGTATATATATGTATATACATATATACATATATATGTATATATGTATAAGCAAAGCACTTAAGAAGAAGACAAACCCCTCGGTATTTCAATGCTGACAGTGCGCGGCTGCAGGCGAACGCCAGACCCTCTACAAGACCTGCACCACACAAACCCTAAACCCTAAACCCTAAACCCTAAACCCTAAACCCTAAACCCTATCTCCTAAGGCCCAAACCTTCAACCCTCTCGCGTTCCCCCTCCTTCCTAGCCCCCAAACCCAAAACCCAAAACCCTAAACCCTAAACCCTAAACCCTAAACCCTAAACCGTAGAAACCCTAAACCCTAAACCCTAAACCCGTACCTCGTACCCCATAACCTGCAACCCCCCAAGCCCAAACCCTAACCCCCTAAACCCTAAACCCTAATGTTTGCTGCTGCTTACTTGCAAGGATTAGCAATAATGATGCCGCTCCCGCTGCACTGTCTACAGGGTACACCTAATACTATGGGGCCCCTCTCCAAGCGCTGCACTCCGCTGCCGCTGCAGCCCCAGCACCGCTGCACTCCGCTGCTGCCTGAGCTGCTGCCGCTGCCGCTGCAACTCTCGCAGCTGCTCTTCGCATTAAAACGTAATGTCTATAGTAATACACACAATAAGACACACATATATATATAAATATATATATATATATGTATATATATTTATATATTTATATATATGTAGATTTGTATATATATTTGTTTTTATTTGTTTATATAGATGTGTGTAAGAGACTTTATTTATATATATATATATATATTATATTTGTTTATTTGTTTATTTATATATATGTATATAAAGGAGACAGTATATTTTTTAATAAGATTGGGGGTCTTAGCACTGATACGCAACATCTATACACAAAAAATATATATTATATATATAATTATGTAGTATTAATTAAAAAGACATATTAAATATTATATTTTACGTTATACTGCACAATATTATATTGAACTGCATTATAATAAATACTAACGACAAGCATAATTATTATTATTTCTTCCTATGATTATAATTATAAATATTACTACCATTATAATTATTATTATTAATAATTACTATTATTATTAGTATAATAAAGATAAACAGACAGTAATAATGCATGCATGCAATATACACATACACATATGTATATATACATATATATACATACATATATATATATGCATATATATATATATACATATATATATACATTTATATATATATACATGTGCATATATATATATATATATACATATTTATATATATATATATATGTATATTTATATATACATTATGCATATATATATATATATATATACATTTATATATATATATATATATATATATTTCATACCTTTTCGCAGCCTTTGACAGCCTCTAGGAGTTCAATATTTAAATCTGTTTGAATATCATCTCCTCTTGAAGGCCCCCCTGAGGGGCCCCCACCAAAAGCTGAAGCAAATGCTGCAGCAGCACCTGCTCCGTATCTGCTGCTGCTGCTGCTGCTGCTG